GCCTGACCAGGTGCTCATGGGAGAAGGATGTGACAGTCCACCGTCAGACATTTCCAGCCTCGGAAACCCTATGGGGCACTTCTGCTCTGTCCTGCAGGGCTACTGTGAGTCCATGGTCATGGGTTTGGGGTGATTCCTTCCCTCTTCTGCCCCCCTTGAATACAGACCCATGGTCTCCATCCCTTCTCTGCCCTGAGGAAGAAGGAGGGGAGCACAGACCATCGTCTAAGCTCAGGGTCCCTCCTTACAGAGGACCTCACTGCCGGAGTGACCAGGACAAGAGCGATGACCTTCATCACATAGGCTTATCTGTCCTGCTCAGGGGTGACCATGATGAATTTGTACTTCAAACAACACAAGTTGTCTCCAGTCTTGGATGCCAGAAGTCCCATTTCAGGGGTCCAGCAGGGTCACCTCTCACCAAAAGCTCTTGAGGAGGCCCTCATTTGTGTCTTCCAACGTCTGGGGGCTCCAGCCATTCGTTGGCTTATGGTCGAATCATTCTAACTCTGCCACCCTTGAGACATGGTTTCATCCATCTTCTTCTCTTAAGGAATAGTTGTTGTTATGAACCATGAGTTGAAGCCGACTCATAGCTGGCCTGCCAGAAGCTTTTCCTGGGCAGTAAATAACAGAGGAGTTGACTGCCCGTCTTTCTCCAATAACCGTCATAAAGAGAGGAGGGCCACCTGCGGGACCCCACCCTGAATTCACGTCCTCTGCAAGGGCTCTGTTTCCAAACAAAACCGAACGCTGCTACTGCTTTGATTCTTACTCATGACACCCTCACAGGAGGGGACAGAACGACCCCGAGGGCTTTCCGGGGCCAGACACTTTCCAGAAGCGAATTGCCTCGCCTTTCTCCTGAGGAATGTCAGTGGGTTCCAAGTGCCGGCCTTTCCATTAGCAGCACAGTGCTTCACCCGCTGTGTCACCATGCTTCCACATGTCCCATTGGGTACCAGGGGTTAGGGCCTTGACCGTGGCATTTGGAGACACGTATGTAAAGGGTCTGCGTGGGTTGACTTCGGCAGGACGGCTGGGCTCTCAGCCTGCTCGGTGCTTCCCGCACCTGGATCCACACCCCCTGTGGTCCATCTAACTCTCGGTGCCCGTGTGTGAGAGTGGAACCACCCACAGGATTTCTCACCTGTCAGCTCTGTGGACGCAACTGCCAGGCCTTTTGTTCATGGCACTTCAGGGTTGGTTCAATGTGACAGCCTTCAGGTTAATAGCCAGATGCAAACCATATGCACCAGCCAGGGCCCTGCCTTCCACTCAAGGAAGGAGACAGGAAGGAGGCGGTGGCCCACCCTAGTGCTGGGGACCAGTGTGGTGATGGTTTAGAAGGAGCTGCCCGGTCAGAGCACTGGAGAACTTGCCCTGGAGGCTAATCTGAGGCTGGGCATCTCTGACATCTCTAAAAAATGGACTTTCACTAGAAGGGCCCCCACTGTGGACATGCATGGACCTCAGGGCTGACAGACCTCCTGGTGGCCATGTTCCCTCAGCTCTGGTACCCCACGTGGCACATACGGGGTTCCATCTCCTGGGGTTGAGTTCTAGCTGGTCAGGCATGGGCTGGGCTCCACCTCCTCCCCGGGTTCCAGTCCTGATTGGTTAGCCATCCAGCCAGGTGACTGTGTGTACTGCTCTTCCCAGATTCACCACCACCACCACCACCCACCCCCCACGGCCTTTCTACCCCAGCTGTTGTTTCTGGTGATTATTTCCTTACATTCCCTTCATTTCTCCAAGTCACCAAGGTCAGGCAATAAGCAACACAAAATGCTAACTTTGAATGTTTTTATTTAAAAATTAATAAAGAAGTCAGTGACAAGTATACTAATTTACCATCTCTACTACGTAATGTCATGGGTACATGACATATATGATAATATGAAGGGACAGTGTATTTTCACCTTGGTTCTGGGTCCAAGTATTCACTTAGGTCTCTAAGACAAGAGTCATCTGTTAGTGACACACTGCAGTGACAACGTGGTTTGACGGTGAAAACAGATTTCTCTTTTGAATATAGTTTTGTTTTGAGAGGGGAATAGTGTATTTTCAAAGTTTCTTTTCTGCCTCAAAAAATTGTTACCGACTTCTTTCCTTTTTGGTATCTACCGCTTTGAATCGGGGACACTTTGTTGTCCTGTCTTAAGGAGTTCCCTGCACTCACGGTGACTGACTGACTGACAGCCGTAATTAGAAGGAGCTGACACCCGTCTTTGAAATCTTGGAGCTCACTGAGATTCTAAAACCAAAACGAGGGATAGAACAAGGTGCAAACATTTTACAACTTTAATTTAAAAACAGTATAAAATACATGAATCAGAGTTTGAAATGTGTCCACATGGAAACAGGGGCCCTTCCTTCTCCACACAGGGACAGACAGCATCCTCATCTTGCTCTGACCCAATCCTGATGCTTTTTTCTCTTTACTGAGACTCAGGGCTTCGAGCGCTCCCTGAGCGAGTACCTCTTAGGGTTTTACTGACGTTCACCTCTCCATAGGGCATGGGGGCAGACTAAGGAGCGCCCAGGGCACTTTCCAAATTGCATCTTCCCTTGAGGCTTGGGGGACAGTCTCTTAATTGTGTCCTCCTAACTGTGGTGCCCTTTCCCATTTAAGCCCTCAGTGGTAATCTCTAAATTACACCCCTCAAATTTGGGCACGAAGAGTAATCTGTCAGTATCCCCAATTTGAATTCCCAGGAGCAATCTCTAAATTGCTTTGCCTCCGAAATTAGGCATCAAAGGACAAGCTCTTAGTTATGCTCCTTAATTTAGGGGGTCTGGTGGCAGAGCCCATAGGCAACCCCATTGCTGACCCAAAGGCGTGTGTCTCTGGCGGTTTGACTCCACAAGCAGCTGTGAGGGAGAGCTGTGTGATTTACAGCTTCCCAGAAATCTGCTGGAGGGTCAGCTAGGAGTCTGTTCAGACTCGACAGCAAAGAGTTTGGGGGGTTTTGTCCTTTTAATTTGGGTACCCAAGGGCAATCTCTTCAAGTGCTGCCCTCCTTAATTCAATTGCTTGGGGGATAATCTCTCATCTTTCAAGAGGAAATTATTTGAGCAGTCTCCTCTCATGTCTGGCTGCCACAGGCAGGAGTGGTTCGTATGTTTTGGGCCTCAAGGTGTCATTCTGTGTCTCATTAGACACTTCTTGGACTTGCACCCAGGCTAAGCATCCTCTCCGTCCCTCCCTTGATAAACATCTGTGTCCCTGAGACACAGGTCAAGGCTGAGTTAATGGAAAATGCTCAGTGGTGTTACTGCCAGGTGGCAACTGGGACATGTGTCATCCCTGCCATCCTTTAGACGCATCTCTGCCTCCACACTTGAGTCTGAGTAACCCCTAAGAGTGTTGACTTGGTTTACTTTTCTAAGTTTTCTTTCTGTTCAGATCTGATGCTGATCCCTAGGTCCCTGTAGAATCCAAGTGCTTAGAACCGAAGTGGACACACTGTTGTGTCAGGAGCCAAACACATGGCAAGACGTAGCTCTAATCGGAAGGACACAGCAGACTCTTCCACCAAGGCGAGCCACTTACTCTTAGCATCCAACCAATGAGCTTGACACATCCGCACTGGCTCAGACATGGAACTGCTAGACAGAAACTTGAAGACTAGGTGTGTCTGTATGTTCACAAACTATGCAAAATTGAGGTACAAAAAAAGGCAACATAAGATCCCTACTTTCTATTATGAAAAGCAAATAAATAGATAGACAAAGGTCATCTGTGGACCAAGGGCTTCTGGACTTCTATAAAAAAGAGACTTGCAAAGGAATGAGTGAAAAAATAAAGGAACTAAGATTTACATTGCAATGTGTCATCAAGAGAGAAGTCTGAGTGTCTCTGTTTATTAAAAAATCCCTAAAAACATTTGATTCACAGCTTTCCCTAAGAATGTCATTGAGGACAATTTACAAGGAGGCGCGTTGCAGGAGACACGGAGCTTGTGGGTTGATAGCAGCTGAACTAAACACACTGGTTCTCGTGGAGATGACTGGGCCTTGCGAGTCATTAGAAAGCAAGAGTCCTAGAAAAGATCTGGCCTAGCTGACGGTGTGCACCATATCCCCAGAGCTTGATCCACAGAAAGGCTTCCAAGGTGACACAGCATGCTTGCGGTTTACCAGCTAGCTGTATGTGTTTTCAGATCCTTGCCAGAACTGATCACTCGGCCTTGGGTACCAAAAGATTAAAAATGAGATCTAGGAAAGCTCTGACCCTGTCCACTCGCAGTGATGTAAAGGCATGTCCTGACCGTGGGAGGCTCCTGGCTGCTGGCCGCTGGGAAAATCAATAGTAAACGTGTCCTAGGTCTGGAAGATGGAGAGGATGTTTAATTGAGGTGTCACGGTGACACGAAGATGTGGCCACTTGGCTGAGCGCTAGAGCACGTGAAGGCAAAGATACAGAGAGTCACATTGAAGAGATTGTTCATGGTCTCCGACCACTTGAAAAAATTGTGCTTTCTCCGGAATTTGATGTGCTGAAAGGTGCACTCACCCCCCCGCTGATTTGCAAAACTCAACGTAAAAATGAAGCCTTTTGCAAACATAAGGCTTGCGTTTCTTCTCATTTTTGTTTCTTAAAAAATAAATAAATCAATAAAGGCTCAAAAAGAACTATGAGTTTCAGCTGTGTAGAGTGACAGCTTGCCCTTCGGCAGGTGGGCCGGGTGATATTTGCAGGTCTGGAAGGAGGGACGGGATGGAGATTGAGTTTTGACTTGCTGTCTTTGACAGAAGTTTCACTTGGGATTTTACACCCCACATCAGCAAGCTGCAGGTAAAGCCAGCAGCATGTGGGTGTGATACCTTACTCTGGCGACCATCTGTTGGTGGAGAAGACCTTTTTGGTACGCAGGGGTGCGACTGTGGCGTTGGCCAAGTCCGCACCACAGTTTACTCGATCCTGTTCATCCCGGGAAAAGGATTTCCTTGACACTGATGGGTTTTAAGACTTGAGAATCCAAGCACGGTGAGTTTCAGAGGAACCAGAGTTTCCATCTTCCATGCTTTTTAGATTCCGTTTTGGATTTTTGCTTGGGAGTTGAGGAGTGCATCTCCTGAGTATAAGGCGAAGGTGCAACCTGAGTTTCCTCGATAGAATGGAGTTTCCTCAGAACGGGTTGGAGTTTGTCTTCTTGCTGCTTAAAATCTAGCTCCACGCTGCAAAGGAAAGAGAGGGAAGAATTCAGAGCTTGACCTTCACCTGGAAAGACCTCACTAGTGACAGCAAAAGTTGGGTGAACGCCTAGCAGGCTAATTGTGGGTGACAGTGTGTTCATCGGTATTCCTCCTTTATTTATACTTGACCCTGGGGTGTAGGATGGCCTTGATATGGTGTAAGTTCTATGTGACTGTGACATATTTCAAATAAGTTCTTTTTCATTAAAATGACTTGTTTCCTTGTAAGTTTCTGCAGTGTTACCACTGTACACAGTTGTGTCAGAGTTTACGGTGTATTTGTTGAAAGAAGGAAGTAAAACGTGAGTAACCCAATTGCTGGTCCAAAGACCCCACACTTCCAGAAAGAAAACTGATAACACAGAATCCAGGTGTCCAGGCGTTGTCCTGGTGCATGTGTGCATGCCGGAAGAGACAATGGTGGGCACGTTTACACGTGAAGCTTTCTTTCTATGTAATTTTCTCATAATCAGAGAAATCTCTATTTCTGGAAACCGTCATGAAATCTCCTTACTTTACATTCTCCTTTCAAAACTCTTAATCAGCTTGAAATATCGTTAACAACCTATGTACAAAGCATCGGGGAAGCAGTGCATTTACGGAGTCAACGTATAAGGCACCGTGGAAGCTCTGCATATATGGAGCCAACTCCCTTGGACATCTTTCGTTTGTTATCACAGATAGTTTTTCAGGTCGAAACATAGTGGTTATCAATGAGTTATTTAAGGGTGAAAATGACACAGACTCAGAATGCCATCACTGAAGCCAAAGTGTGTAGAATGAGCCATGTGAGGGTATGTTAACTGTTTGCCGTGAGGGCTGCTGTAGAATGATGGGACTGAAAAGGATTAAAAAAAATGCTGTTTTTATTAAAGTTCTCTTAAGAATGACAGTACCTTGCTTTGAGTCCTGACTTCTCTTCATGACTTTGACAAGAACCAGTGTTGTCCCACTAACGCATATTGTTCTGTGTTCCATGTTGGCTTCGTACAGAGTGATTCCATGCCCAAGAGAACCAAACCCTGCCCCTCTGATGTCCTTACGATCTCTGCCGTGCTTGATCACCACTGGTCACTGTGTCAGTCCAGCCATTGAAGGTCCTCTTAATGCCTGCAGACTCCCAACAGGCCCCTTGGCATTGTGTAGGACCCCAGCCTCACATGTAACTGAGAGAAAGTCTTAGCTCTGATGAACGTTCCTCTCCTTCCTGCCTATTCTGCCAGTGCTGGTACCTGATGGGCAGGGCCGGGGCTGGCCATCAGTGGGAACATTTCTTTTCTTCCTGCCTTCTCTGCCAGTGCCGGTTCCTGATGGATGGCGCTGGGGCTGGGCATCAGTGGACATTCAGAGACTTCCACTCTGAGCTCCGTCCATGTCTAGTCTGGATGCCAGAGCAGATGTCAGTAGATTTCAGTGACGCTTCGTTGATGATGAGCTCATAATGTTTTCTAACCAGTGGACTTGTAAGCCATTTATAAACATGAAGTCCTATCGATCGAGAGAACCATTAATCCTTGATACATTTTGACATTTTGGAAAGACAAAACAGCCCAGCAGTGTTATCTGGAGTTTTAAAAACAAGTTCAGGACCTCTCTAATGGACCATTTTATGTTTTAAATCCACTGCTCAATTTTTCTTATTGTCAGAGGTTGGAATATTATGAAAAAGTTAAAAACAAGTTGTTGGGGAAGGTTATGGCGAGTTACCCCTTGCTACCAACACAAGTGTTATTTTTAACCCCCCTTTCTATTTCAAAGGGCCCTGATGACTTGGGCTGAAGTTTCTAATGGGAAGTAAAACGTGACCTCATGAATGCCTCATGCCTTATTATCCAGAATGTAAGATCAGTGGGGCATCGTCCCTGTTAAGGGAGGTTTTGAGAAGGGCAGATTGAAGGAAATGTTGGATTGATGGGATCTGACTTATGTCTGTTACGTGGTAGAAAAAGCATCATTTCCATTCTGCCCCTTCTGACGGCAGTTGAGGTGAAAGGGGAATCCCTTGGCTACTTGAGGTTGTTTTCTTTGCTTCAGGGAGAGAGAACCCTGTGGGCCTTGGCTACCTCACTCTGTTATTGTAAAGACACTAATAGGGTTCTGAACACTAAAGTGCTTTTCAAACACTGCTCTGTCCGTGACGTGTTCTTGTCTGTTTGAATCCCAGTGCAGTACAGTTCTGCTCTGTGCATGTGGGTCCTGTGATTGGAATCTGCTAGTGATCGAATACCAACACTGAGCTTTATGATTAGGTATTCTTGTCATGACTGGAGTCGTGAACGAAGGCTACAGAATGCAGTGGACTTGGAGGGAGGGATTGTATAACAATGAAAGGATTTTTCCTTTACTTTTTAAAGAGAAGAGCGAACTGGGGGTGGGGGAGGTTGGGCAGGGAGAAAAGTGCAACAGTGAATGAATGGAAACCCTAAATCTCTGTAAACTTTCATTAAAATCTATAATAATAATATAATACACATTAAAAAGGGAAAAAATTCTGCAATCTGGGCATTTTATACATGGAGCAAGACCCTTTGGTGGAGCCTGCCATGTGCTGCAGTACGTATGGCGGTGGTTGCGATGGGGAGAGGAAAGCGGTCTTAGGAGACTCTTGGTTAATACTGGAAGCGTGCTTTTCAGATCGTCACCATTTCCGCAGTTCCCGAGAGCTTCTGCGTTATTAACACAGAGAGAGGGTGTTCGCCTGTCTGGGGTTAACAGTACAATCCTGGGCACCTATAATTATTGAATACCCATTAAGCAACTACACTGGGAATCCTGTTATTAAGTAATTTATCACACCGGGGAACCATGTAATCACAGAGTAATCTAATCTGAGTTCTTGTTAACAAAATGACTCGACTTATCTGTCAAGTAGAATCGTCTCTGCCCTCTCATTCCACTGCTCTGGGAAGCTGCACCGGTAGCGGGTGCCAGAGCTCAGGGAGCCTGTGTGGTGGGACTGCCAGCCGGTAATGCCTGTGTGGCCAGTGGGCTACCTGAGGTGCATCTCTCCCCATCCGCCTTCACCACCAGCCTCCCTCCTTGGCTGTGGGGTGCTGCTGGGTACCAGGTATCAGCTGGGTGAACTGCAGAATAGCAATTATTTGCATCCTTCTGCATGCTGCGTTCACCTGGGGGGGGGCGGGGGCAGGGGTGGGGGCAGACTGTGTCACAGGGAAAATGCATCAAGTCCAGGTTCTGAGTTGGAAGCAGGTAGCTGGACTGAAAGGACTGTATCAGGAAGTTAATCCTCTGACTGAGACAAACAGCTGGAGGGCAGCACCTGCTGACCTGGGTAGAGGAGAGGCCTTGGCTGCAAGCCGTGGCCCTCAGAGGCTGATGTACTTTCTGGGCACACGCATTCCTCGCTGGTCCGTGCAGGGCCTGGGAAGTCACCTGCCAGGGTGGAGGTGGCTCACATGGGGCTCTGTTGATCTCTGAGTGACACCCTAGGACCTGGCACCTGCCGCGGTGACTGCTGCACAGTGCAGGAGGGTGATGGGTCAGCCAAGCCCTAGATCTGCTTCTTTCTGTGCCCTCTTCAAGGATGCTCCCTGGGCCCAGCCAGGCATTTCTTCCTGCCCTGCTGTCCCCGGTGAACACGACCTCCTTACTCTCTGACGTCAAGGGCCCTTTGCTGTTTCCTTCTCTGCTCCAAGCATGGGCCACTATTTCATTTCTTTTCTTTTTTTTTTTGGGGGGGGGGAGCATCTTCCGGAATATGTGTACCATGATGAGATAAGGACTTTGTCCTAGTTAACCATCTGTCCGCATTGTGAAAACAAGGCCTGATTCATGGTCCACAAGGACCACGGCCATGGAGTCGGTGCTGACCCTGGTGGCTGTGGATGTCAGGGAAATGCCATGCTCTACTGAGCATCCGTTGATTTCACAGATCCCAGTTCTTTCTTCCAAGGTGGACTTGAACCTCTGACCTTTCCATTAGCAGCCGATAGCTTAGCTGCTTGTGCCAGAACATGGATCAGTGGACGAGCACAGAGTCCTGAGGGATAGGCTCTAGCGTGGGTCAGTTCTGCTACCTTTTCATAGCCTTTTGTTCTAAAGGAGCTGCTTCTTGTTACAGAGAAGTAAGATCCTGTGGAGGTGGCATTCTGGAGCCACTCTGGCAAGGTCTGTGGGCTCAGTCCATTCTATCAGAACTTTCTGGAAGAATATTCTGGAACTGTTCTTCAGATCAGGTGCACACCCAGATCGGACCCGAGTCAGCCAACTCCTTAAATCAGCAGTGAGGCACAGTAGGCTGGGGGGCCAGCAGGGGGCGGCGGTGAGCAGCCAGCCTCTCCTACTGCACTTTTCTGCATGTAACACATCTAAGAAAATGAACAGATTCATCCTGGAGAGGGTTAAACCAGGCTGCTCCTTGGAGGCAAGGATTCTGAAGCTCCGTCTGACATACTTTGGACATGTTACAAGGAATCCTTGGAGAAGGATGTCATGCTTGGGAGGGTGGAGGGACAGTGCAGGAGGGGAAGGCCCTCTATGAGGTGGATTGATTCAGTGACTGGGGTAATCGGGATGGGTGTATCGGAGACAGTGTGATTGGCACAGGACAGCAGGGTTTAAGGCTGCTGTACACAGGGTCGCCATGAGTCGCAGGCGACTCAACAGCACATAACAACAACAATGTAACACATAAACACACGTAGGATACGTCGCAGGCGACTCAACAGCACATAACAACAACAGTGTAACACATGAACACTCGTAGGATACACGCTAGGAAACTGATGTGCAAGGGACTTGTGCTGTTTGCCAAAAAAAGAAAAACACAATCCACAGCCATGTGACACGAGTGTTATTTGAGTGAAATACGTGGTATTTCAGCTCTCTTTTCACTTTTCCTGTGACTTGGGGGTTGAGTAGATCTGTTTTCCCATCCGATGTGCCCTCAACCTGCTGGGAACGGTTAAGTCCAGAGGCCCGTCCACAGGTGGGCTATCTGTCTGTTGGTCCTACGGAAAGAT